GGTATGAAATGATTTCTTAAACTCAAGACAATGGTGTGATTTCTTTAATTCTATGTTTCTACCAGTAAAACTTTTATTTATACTGTGTTGAAACAAAAACAAATTAGAAAAAAAAAACAGGTAAAAGACTTCAAGTACAAATACATTTGAAAGAACAAAATTAACAAATACATGTAACAAGAAAACAATTATAATACATAGATAGACCAGAAAACATACAGAAAATAACAATGTAAGTATAGGAGGCAGATAGAGATTGTAAGAGCAATGCTGGGTGGGCAGTGTAGATCCCCTCTTTACTCTAGGATCCACTGACAACATCAGTATTACCATAACATCTTGACATGCGTCACACATGCGTTACAAAGTTGTAACTGGCAAAATCATAGCAGCACACAAACATAGCAGAACACAGGAATAACATAGGAGCAATACTTTTTCTTTGAGAACTGTACAATAAACTCTTGCATTAAACTGTGCTGTATTAGATGGATTTATATATTATTTACTTGGGCATGTTATAAAAGATATCTTAAGATCACATATATCAAGATTATTTTTAGCTACTCTTAATTAATCACATTCTCTTTCAGGAAAACATAAATTTTTTTCTACTCTGTTGTTCACCAGGTCACATATGAATTTTTAGTTGACATGATTGCACCTGACATCAAAAATTTACAACTAAGCAGAAATTAAAACAAGCAAAATCTCAAGAACCCCTTCAACAACTGTATCAATTTCATGACCTAGTTCTTCCTCCCTCCTTAACATTTTTTACCATATTGTTCTCTTGATAAATTCACATTCTTCTGAGAGCTTAACTCCCCATGTCCTTTTGTCAACTATATTAAACAAGTTCTACATGTTTATAAATCCATAAAAAGGAATGATGAGTATAAAAATCCAGTGTGACATTTATCTCTCTGCTCTTTCATATAGGCTAAAATGCTTCCTCTAACAAAAATTATGCCTTCAAATGAAAAGACAGCAAGTGAGGACATCTACAGATTCTCACCAACTAAATGTTTACCATCTTATTTGCCGTCTTACTTTATGCAAGAGTCCTACTTCCCCAGAGTGTAAGGGGAAGAAACAGCTTGTATTTGCAGAAAGGAGAATTTCATCACCAACATAAAAAGCACAATAAATTTTAGGTACCTTTGTTACTGTTTTTAGAATTCCCCGTGGCCAGTATATCTCTTTGACCACTTTCACCACTCTACCTGAACAGATGTTTAAAGTAGACCATAGAGATAATAATGATGGTGTCAGGACCTGTTTAGCTGCAGCTAGCAAATCAGGACCAGCCCAAGGCTGAGCCTATGAAGCATATGTCACATCACCTCTTCTTTGCAACCTTTATACCAATTCTGACGCCAGCAAACTCTTTGATAAAACTCTCTACTTACTTCCCTGCTAGTTAATCTCTTGCTATGGCCACACAGAACTCCCAAAACGTCCTCACAGTTAAGTGGTCTATTAAGGAAATAACAGAGTACAAACACCAGTATGGTTCAAAATTAGGAAAGGAGTGCATCAGGGATGTGTCCTGTCTCCATAGCTTTTCAATCTATATGCAGAACAGATCATTCAAGAGGCTGGACTTTGTGAGGAGGAGTGTGGCATCAGTATTGGGGGAAGAGTCATCAATAATATGCAGTATGCAGATAATACAACCTTGCTTGATGAAACTGAGGAAGACCTGAAGCATTTGCTACAGAAGATCAAGGTCTGTAGTCTTCAATATGGATTAAAGCTTAACCTCAAGAAGATAAAGATTCTGACCTCTGGGCCAATTGGCAGCACATGATGGATGGAGAAGAGATTGAGGTTGTTAACAAGTTTAATTTGCTCAACTAACACTCTTAACACCAGCAGTCAGGAAATCAAAAGACGAATTGCATTGGGGAAGCCAGCTGTTGGGAACCTCTTAAGAGTGTTGAGGAGCAATAATGGCAGCCTAGAGACTAAGGTGTGCCCAATTTAGGCAATGGGCTTCACAACTGCATGCTATGCATCAGAGAGCTAGATAATGACTAAGTCTGACAGAAGAATTGATGCCTTTGAGTTGTAGTGCTGGAGAAGAGTCTTGAACATACCATGGACCACCAGTTGAACAAGTAGGTCTATCTTGGAGAGGTTGAAGCCAAGATACTCCTTGGAGGCTTCAATTTTGAAGCTACATCTCACAGACTTTGGGCACATGGCTAGGAGGTACAATTCTTTAAAGAAGGACACCATGCTTGTAAGGGTAGAGGGACAGTGAAGAAGAGGAAGACTTCGGAAGAGATGTATTGACACGATAACTGACTAGGGCAATGGAATTAAGCATGTTGGGGTCAGTAAGACTGGTTCAGGATAAAGCAGGGTTCAGAGCTGTTGTACATAGGTTCACTATGAGTCACAGACTGCTCAATGGCACATAACGATAGCAGCAGCAGCAGCAGCAGCAGCAGCAGCACAGCATCAGTATTGAATATATGCAGACTGAGTCTTCTTTCTTCCACACAGGGCAACTCTCAATTTCTCTAGTCCATGAAGGCAGGCTACCTCTCTACTCCCTGAAAATAAGCCTCTTTTCAACTCCTTCAAGGAATGTTCCTCTTGGCCCCTTGTAAACAGACTGCTCAACTCCCTTGAGAATAAGCTTCTCTTGATCCCTTTCAGGACAGTTTCTCTGGGCCGCCTAAAGACAAAACCCTCTTTTGTCTCCTGAGGACAGACCCTTCTTGGTCCCTTCAAGACAAGTTTCCTCAGCCCCCTTGAAGACAGACTACTCTCATCTGACTGAAAAAGAGTTTCTTTCAGATCCCTCAGAGAAGATCTCTCTTCCTCCAACGCCCCTCATGTTGGCTGTTCCTTAGAGTCCCTTTCAGGTCTGCTGTCATCTTCAGTGTTTTAGCCCTTGATTTATGTGACATTTCTTTTAGGAGATTCCTTGCCTCCTTTATCTCTGCTTCTTTCCTCTTCTATTCTTGCCTTTTCCCCCTTGTTGCTTCTTTCTTTTTCTTTTGTGGAAAAAAAAAAGCTTTGTGGGGTTGGTGGCATATATACACAAACTTCTTGTCCATTTCAAGGAATGGCCCTGTCATCAGGGCCATAAATCTACCAATCTTATATCAGTGGGCCATATTTACATCCATACATATGTATCTTAAGTTAGAACCTACTTATAGCAGACCCTTCAGGGGTTTTTGAAGGCAATAAATAGCACAAGAGGAAATTTCCTTTCTCCCACTTCAATTATCTATTTTATTTAATAGTCTATTGAACAATCCTTGCAAGATGTATAATAATCACAAACAAATTTGGGTTCAGGATTAAACCAAAAAGTATCCAAACTGAGTTGTTTATAGTTTTCTGAGCAAATAGAAATTAATTTGGACAAGAATAGTAGACTCCTTGGGGCAGAAAACTAGGGCAAAATTAACTCCTTAAGGTTGAGGAGGAAAATACATCAAGCTGCTTTTCCAAAGAACCAAGGCAAAAAAGCCATAAATAAATAAACTCATTTCACCACAGTGAATTACTATTATTTGTGAAGGAAAATATGACATCTCAGAATTAAAGATTAGTGAGCTTAATGTTTCTAGAATATATTTTACTGTGTCAAGCTATAATAAAGTCATTAACAATATACTAGGTTCAGATAAATCTATAGGGAAAGGATGCCTAATTTGGCCTTTTCAATTTGTAGGGAAATTTACTAATCAGATAAAAATATACAACATTGTTAGAGATGTACAGAACCAATGTTTTATCAATAAGTGTAATATACATTCATTCAGTTAATATTTATTGGGCTTCATGCTGTGTGTCAAGCACTACATTACAGCCTGAAGATGAGAATATAGGTAAGATATCATCCTTGCCCTCACAGAGCTTACACTGGTGTACAGTGTACTGTCAAACTGGGCCATGAGAGCAATTGTAGATACAGGATGCTATAGGAATACATAGTAGGGGATTGGCTCCATACTGGTGGTCAAAAGGCTCCTCAGAAAAAAATGGTATGTGATTTGCAGCTTACAGTTCTGGTGGTGGGGCCCATAGGGAGTTATGTTGCTAATCCAAAGGCTGCAACTTGTTGGTGGTTCAAATCCTCCAATACCTCTAAGGGGGAAAGATGGTCCATCTCTTCCAATATGATTTATAACTTCAGAAACTATTGGAGAGTCAGCTGTGAGGCAGTCCTGACTTGATGGCAATGACATTTATTTATTTTTTTTTAATTTCTTTATTTTCAGGTTGGAAAGCAGATGCAATGAAAAAAATAAAAAGGAATAAATATTTTAAAATTGTATAAACTTAAACAATAATAATTTCTTAATGTATATCCTTTTGAATAATTAACTGCCTTTAAAACCCATTGGAGGGTCAGGTCAGCTAATGGATCAGTTCCAAATCGACAGTGCGGGACAGCAATGTGGTAAAGTAGCAGCTACCATTTTTTTTTCTCCATTCTTCAAAACTCTTCACCTTTCCCTCCATTTTGTCAATCCCGTTAATTACATTTGTGCTCAGTATCATACACAGACGCATGTGATAAAAGGGATTAAGGACAAATGATCATGTTCATAGTTTATTGTTTTGGTGCGTTTGGGTTTGTTTCCCCACATACATGTACATACAACAAGACAGAAAGAGCTAGTGAAGTTGAAAAGAAGAGAAATGGGAGAGCTGAGAAAGAAACTGGAAAGAGGAGTCCATAGAAGGAGTAGGCGAGGGAAGCAGTAAAGCAGTGCAGAGGGATGACCCCACAAACAACTCTTTTCACAAGAGAAATGTGTGATAAGCTGGACTGCAAACAGTAAGCCTGCTTAGGAAGGAGAGGACACTGTATGAGACAGGCTATTTCTTTTGTCTTGATGGTTCCTCTGGACCCAAACTTCAAAACAGTTTGGGTTTGGCTTTGTTTCGCTTTTCCTAAGAAAATTATCCCAGCCTACAGTTGATATGGCAAACTCAGGTGACAAACGTCTAAGAACAGTTCTTACTTGGATTTTTTCTCCTCAGCCTGATGGTGTGTATTGCCACAGCACGTAAATTATAGGCCAGGCAACTATACTCCTGGGATAAATCCGTTTCCTTCACATCCTTTATTCTTAAAATTCTTTTCAGACAATTCAATCCATCTGTAGAACTAAGAAAGCACTTGTCAGTTTTCATGTTTACTTTACAGTTTAAATTGTAAGAGAAAGGAGTATTTCCATTTTAAATTTAAAAAAAAAAATCAACCTACCTTTCACTTTCCACTTTCTCCTCATGAAATCTTGCTTCATCCAAGTCACTAACTTTCGTTTTATTAACTCGCCAATTGACTGGGTCTATGAACCCAGGGTTTTCTCCAACACAGCCCAAGCAAGTGATATTTGCTGTTTTTCCTAGAGAAAAAGTTTTTTTAAAAAGACAATAATAAAATTAAATTCTGTAAATAATATTTAATTCAAATTAATGTGAAAAATAATTTTCAAACACTTTGTATGTACACAGCATGGATTCTTATTTCTTTTTAAATCTTTGATCTTTCATCTTTCTGTCTCCTTTTTCTGTCTCCTTTCCTCTCCTCTCATTATCTTAATTTCCTTCACAAGTAAGTTTAAAGCTTCACTTCCATGTCCTCCTCACTGCAGAAGAAATTTATGAGGCAAATGATTGGCTTTACTCATCCAACATTATAACATAGAACTTCCCTTTAATGTACATTAAACTTTCTAACAACTGTCTTCCACTTTGTTCTTTTACGGCAGATTTTTTCATCTCTCCATAAACTAGATTTGAAAGTAAAGCTGTGTTTGGGATTTAAGGAGAATTTGGAGATTATTAAACCTAGTCCAGCTATAATCCTAGTAGCTAAGAATCTAGACAGAGCTCTGTCCATTTTAACTCTTTTAACTTGACACTTCCTGCATCCAGACTTGAAAGCCAAAGAGCTGCCTACATGCCTTGAACTTTGATTCTACTCAGTCCTTGCTGAGTCTTTCTTTGGTTTCTGAGATATTTGGAGTTTATTAAGGGTAACATCACTGCAAACAGTGAGACCATAAGTATTCTGATATCCTAATAGACCTTCTACTATTCTAATAGACTTATATGTATATATTGATGATGGTGATATGTGTCATTGTGTTGGAATTGACTCATAGCTGACCAGCAGATTTTGAGACTATAAATCACACTGAAGGAAATTTCCCATCTTTCTCCCACATAGCAGCTGGATTAGAAACACTTGCCTTTGGGTTAGCAGGCTCTCCTTACCCGCTATGCCATCAGAGCTCCTTTATAACTAGCCAAGGTATGTATACTCTTGGAATTCCAACATGAGACAAAGGTTAAAATGCTGGCCTACAATCAAAAGGCCAGTAGTTCAAGGTCATGCATAGGAACCTTGGAAAACAGGTCTGGTGATCTACTTCTGTAAAATCAGTCATAGAAAGCTCAATGGAGTACAAGTTTACTGTGGCACACAAAAGATCATTATCAGTCTGAATTTACTGGGTGACAACTGGTACCAATGATATGAACTGTAATATATATAGGTAGACACCTACAGTAAACAATGTCACCAAGATGTACATACACATGTGACACTAGAGTTGTATGAGTAGAAGATCTATTTATGTTTTCTGGTAGAGAGCAAAGGTAGCATAGGGGGAATGTGACAGAGGATATGATATTTGAAATTAGTCTTAAGAGATGAGAAGGTGTTAAAAATCAGCAAAAACAGAGAAGAATGTGGAAAACACTTACATGGCAGCAAAGTGGTGAAGAGATCAGTGCCATGGGAGCACAGGCACATGGGATGGTAAGGATCTGTCATGAGCAGGCTTACTTTACGTGGTATAAATTCTGAATTACATCCTGTTTGGTGTGAGGAATTAGTAAACACATCTACAGAGTTGGATCTCTCAGACTTCTTCTTTTATTCTCTAAAAACCTTGACCATGCACTGAGACTCTCTGAGCCTAGACTGTCTCAAGAATACGGCGGAACTGTCTAATGAGAGTTATGAAAATTAAATTATTTACATACATGAAAATACCAGGGATTATAGAGTATGATAAATACCAGTGCCAACACTTCACATTCATCTGATTGGTCATTATCTCTATTACTAAGTACCCTGGTCAAGTGTTGCCATATATATGACCTCACTTAGTCTTCAAGGTTGAGGGCAATAATCGTCTCCTTCTTAGAGAGCTCTGACAGCACAAGGAGCTACGCTGCCAACCTAAAGCCACATGGTTTGAATCCAACAGATGTTCCCCAGGAGGAAGATGGACAGTCTTCTTCCATGAGAGAGATGTGCAGCCTCTGAAAACCTGCTAGAGGGTCAGTTGTGAGTCAGTTCTAACTTGATGGCACATAACAACAGTTAAATTCAGACCAGAGGTTTTATAGAAGAATCATTTAGGCAATGGTTTCATTATTATTAAAGTTTTCTTACCTATTTCTACCTCCACTGTGTCATTGTGTAAAGGAGCTTTAACAACTGGATTCATAAGAAAGTTTCTCTCTTAAACGAAATACAAAAAAGAAAATATAAACAGTAAGAGAACATTTGATAGTTATCAATATATAACTCTATCCTTTTTCATAAACATCTTATATTTTTCCGGCAGTGATCCATGGCAACAAATACACACACACACACACACACACACACACACACACACACACACACACATCATATTTTCTTTCGTTATCTATGATGCGTTTTCATATTCTTTTTTTAAAACAAATGCTGGTGCAACCCACTGAGTTCATTTTATGACCAACTAATTATTAAAAGAAAATGCAATTCTGAATAGTCCTAACCCTATAAAGAAACAATATTTCAAAAGATCCCTGGAAATGACAAATACTGCTCAGAGATCTTCATCATGATGGTCCATACTCAGTGTGAGAAGTCTCTTCATCACAGGTAATTCTACCTTCTGCAGTCATTGAGGTTTAGAGTGAAAGGAGACCTTTTGGAACAGTGCTAATTACACACCTACATCCCTTCATGTTTGTTTATCTCCTGGGGGTGTGATTGAAAGCCTCTGTGGGAGCTCATACTAAACACTGAGATAGAAATGTCTTCTAGTGACACTTATTTTACAGAGGTAGAGGACAAAAAATTCACAAATAATATCTTTTCTCTAATATTGCATTATCATAACAGAGTTGTCTCTGATCTATTTTTGTGTCTACAGACCACTTTATACTAAGATCACCTCAACAGTTAATTACAACTGCAAAATATTTTCACTCCAAAGGGTTTTTTAAGCAGAGAGATGTGGATATGCAGGAAGAGGGGGCCTTAATCATCAGGTTGTACAATTTGACAGGTGGGGCCTTGAGGGAAATTGAAAGAATTTGTTTGAATTTGTATTTGAATTTTGTAAATAAACTAGTAGAAAATGTTTTTAAAAAAGTTTTTTAAAATAGAATTTAAGGTAAATTTGAGGGGTTTTGGTTTCTATTTTAAGAATTCAATGACCTTATTGATCACTGATGTTGGAAGCACTGAAAATTATTGTATCATTAAACCTCTAATCCTTATATTAAAACTAAAATCTTAGAAATTAAGGATTTTTCCTCATAAACTGAACATCTGACATATTATGAAAAGCTATTCTTGCTTGCCAAATTGGTCTACTGTCTTTCAAAATAAGTAAATTACGTTACCTTTGGAAAAAATAAGTTACAGAAGAAAGAAGAGATATGGCATTGGATTAGCAGCATAATCTCCCTCTTTTGTGAGACCTTAATATTACTTTTTAAAGAATACTGCTTGCATCCAAGTACAGAACGTTTAAGATAAAACAGGAGGAAGAATCAGGAAGAAGTATGAAATATCAGCAAGGAGGGAAAAGTTATAATTTTATAGTCCTTCAAATACTTTATTTTGTTAAATTAAGCAGCTTACTTTCCACTTGCAGTGTTCTGGTTGCTGTCACAGTATAATTGACTCCATTTTCATTGTGTGTAAGTTTACAGGTATAATCGCCTGAATCATCACTAGTGGCCTCTTGAATTATCAATGCTGACTCTGATATGTCGTATTTTGGCTCTTGAAGAGCTTTACAGTCCTGAAATGGAAAAATTCCATTCAATTTCCAGCAATGCTTCACTTGCAAGCTAAATTGTACAACTTCACTTGTTTCTCAAAAAGGTTCTTCTATTACCTTAAACCATTCAAGTGGTTCTGTCCAATTGTAGAGCTCAGTTGTAGGGCAATATATTCTGGTAAACTTTTCATTTCCGGATACTGTTGAGTACATCAAATAATCAGGAATTTTGCAATCTGGTTGTTGTTTAGCTATTGTGAGATTCACAATTCTTGTAAAATTATAGGTGGCACTATAAAAATATGTTAGACAATTTTAGTTAGACAAAAGTTCAAATTAGATAAGGTTTACTTAGACAAAATATCACTTAACATTATGAAACAACTTAATCAACTAATTTTCAGTTAATTTTGCTTTTCATCTTAAAACAAGAGTATACTGAGTTATGATCTTAGTTAAGAATAGTCATTAAAGTTTAGAGTGTCAACTACTATTTTTAGAATTTTCTAGATTCAAGCATAACTGCCATAGAAACCCTAAAAGTGGTTCTCTGTTCATTTCTTTATGCTGTATAATATCTGTTTGTACTATCATAAGCACAAAACCAAGCACAAGTCAATGACGATGGTGTTGTTAAGGGCTGTGGAGTCTACTGTGACTCATAGTGACCCTACACACAATAACTCTGAACAGGGCTCTACCCTGAGCCAATCTCACAGTCTTTGACACACTTTCTCTCATTACTCCAGTTATTGTGTCAGTCCATCTTATCTGGGGTCTTCCAACCCTGCTCCATCCCTTGACCCTTCCAAGCATGGCATCTTCCAAAAAATAGTCCCTCCTTTGCTCAAAACATGTGAAAAAGAGTCTCAAAATCCTTGCCTCCAAGTTTGCTAATAACTGCCTTTTTGAAATTTATTTTCAACTGACCATACCCTTCTTCACATCAAATATCTAGGTGCCTATTTTTTCTTTGTTTATTTGCTTGGTTTTTTGTTTGTTTGTTTGTTTTTTTCTTTCTTACTTCCAGCCCCAGTCAAAGGGTTGCACTTAATTTGCTTGGTCAGTAGGAAAACTAAGTTGTCTCTTTTTTTTTCTATTCAATCTCTGCTATTATAAATGCAAATATTTCACAATCACTTGAACCTCAATCTCATCACACTTCTAAATATTCTTTTCTTCAAATTTCCCTGTCAATTCAGATGTTCCAGAAAGGACTAGAAAAAGAAAGAAAACAAAGGGGCAACATAGAAGGTCAATTATTAAAGAAAAGGATGCAGACCATAAGACTCTGTCCGTAGAATACCTTGTGTAGATGCAAGTATAAATTCCAGAATCATCAATTTTTGTTGGTAGAAACTTCAGAAACTTTCCTGAGGCAAACACCCGATCTCGCTTCTGAATGATTATGCTTTTATTTGCATAATACCAATCCACAGAGATTAACAGGGATTTGGGGGTGTAAGGACATGGCACAATTAAGGCTTCATTTTCCAGGCCCCAGTATGGCTTAACTGCAAATCACAAAGAGGATCATGAAATTTTCACCTAGAATTCAGTTTAGAAATTTGTCATACTGTGTGATGTTTTAATAGAAAGATAACTAAATAAATAATTACATTTTAGAGTAAATGTTCTATCAGGTATTACCACAATCAATGAATGGCACTAGTCCTAAAACTCCTACACAAATTTAGTGGAAAAAGACACAATTTCGATCTAATCAAATGATACCTACAACCTTCCCAAGAACATGTACCTTGCTCAACGCTGACATATTTGAATGTGCAAATCTTTCTGTTATCAAGAAAGACTAGATTAAAAGTTAATTTCCCAGTTATCAGTTTGACTGAAAGAATTGGAATTTTTAAGACACATATTTGTGGATTTACTTAAAGCAAAATAGCATTTAGTTGAAAAACAATACTTACTAATTTGAGCTGCCGTGGAATCTAGGAGAGTCAGAATTGTCAAGACCCAAATTCCCATTGTCAGTTTGTCCTGCAAGAGCAATAAGCAGATAAATAAGTGAGGTCTGGTGATGCAGATCTCTCTCAGGAGATGAATGAAGCCCTGTAAGATTCGCAGTAGAAAGGCTTATCTTGGTAATGTAGGCTACAAAGAATTAAACTGTACTAAACAGTAAGCCAAATAAGCATGACTCATTATTGTTTTGTGCTCAACAGTTCCCAGGAGATTGACTCAAACAACAGGTCTCCACACGTGTGTAACATCAGGCTTTCAGACCCTGGCACCAATCGTCACTAAACATCTGGGCCACAGAGCTCTCACAACGGCTATGCAATTTCAGTTACACTTCACAAATCTCATGAATGAAAACCAGAAGCCGAATGAAAAGGAAAGAAAAAAGTTGAAATATGGAAGAAAGTTAAAACCATAAAATTGAACAAACCCTGGGAAATAACAATATTATAATTGATGTAAAACCACAGAATAGACACACAAATCATGTACAACTAGGTCATCACAAAGCAACTGCAGAGTAAAGGGTTAGGGATAGTAGAGCACTACTTAAGGAATTGCCCCAAACCTGATACTCCTCTCTCTCCTAGGTCCTCTCAAGTCACCAAGGCTTTCTGAAAATAGCTAACAGTGTGTTATAAAATAAGAAAACAATTCTCTTCACACCGAATAATTTAGCCTTACTTTATTTTTCCTTAAAAACAAAACAACAAACCAAATGCAAGCCTACCAAAAACCAGAATAGGGATATAGCCAAGACAGAAACAGAAATACAAGGATAAACAGAATTCTCAGCATACTTCCAGAAAGTTAATTTCCTAGAAATATGAATTGTCACTACTTTTCTCATTACATCTACAGGAACATTTCTATTACAGACTTAGAGAGCTGATGCTTACCCAAACCAAGACACAGATTCTGGGAGTGAGCTCCAGACCGATGAATGTTAGGAATACCTTCCAGTTCTCCAAGGTCCCTCTTTGGAGAATATTCACAGGGAAACCTTGTGTTTTATTTTTAAGAGGAGACACTCAAAGATACCACCACAGTTTGTCACTCCTCCTTAATTTTATTTCTAGCCAAAATACATGACTTACTAAAAAATTCTAATGAGTCACTTAGTTAGAAATCTTAGCTTTGGTACATAAATATTTGAACATGGTTGTTGTCACTGAATTACTCTTTTGAGGAAATTACTAAAGAATCTCCCTTGAATTACTTTTTAAAGTTGAAATTCTCTTGTTATTATTATCACCCTAATGTCATTATATTTTTATTCTAAATATTCTTGAAACCACAGGCCCTTGAGATTGTCCTTCCAAATAATATTCCCTGACACCTAGTGTGGTAATACTAGTTTGAAAGATTGAGTAGCTAGATTTGATCACTTTGGTGGGAAGAATTTCAAACGCCAACAGGGAACAACAGAAAGAAGCACGTAGGACTTCATGGATGTGGGGAGATGTTAAAAATGCTCTGTTTATGCTCTAGAATTTGGCAGCCACGTCCAAACCTGAATTCAAACTGCTAAGATACAAATCCTCATCAAGCTCTCAATAATGGAAAGAGAAAGGAACTTTTTCTAAGGAATTCAGAGGATTGGAAACTCTGAATATCTGAAAGGGAGTGATAAAAACCATAACCCCGGATTAATGAGTTAAATCATAAGCATTGTGGGCTCTGGTGGTCTAGTGGCAAGAAGCTGCGTTGCAATCCTGAAGGCACATGGTTCAAATCCACCAGCTGCTCCATGGGTGAAGGATGGACAAACTCCTCCCAATTACTGCCTGTGAAAATCCACCAGACGGTCACCTATGGGTTGGTTTCAACTCTACGGTACACAACAACAATGACACTAGCACTGTGAATAAATACAACTTTCTTTTAAGTGTCACTACATTTCAGAAGAAATAAAGAAATTAAAAAATCAACATCATCATAATATTTCAATAACTGTTAAACTCTGGGGAGGGAGGAAGTTAAACACCTAGTTTCTAATTAAAAAGTCTGAATCTACTTCTAGTGGCTTATTGGGGGAAGAAGTTGCCCTGCCAACTCAAAGGTACATAATTCTAACCCACCAGTTAGTCCAAGAAAGAAAAATGGACAGCCTCCTTCCATGAGATTTGTAACTTCTGAAAATTCATCCGAGGGTCGGCTATGAGCAGAAACTGACTTGACGATACATAAAATAACAACATTGGTCCATAGGGAGAAAGACGTGTTTTTCTGCTTCAGTAAAGATTACAACCAAGAAAACTCTCTGAAAGTAGTTCTACTTTGTTATAAGGGATTACTACAGAACAAAATCAATTTGTTGATACTCAACTACAACAGTCATCAGGTAGAACTCATATGAATTCCAACTGATTTTTATGTATCAACTTCTTTTATTGTCATAACCCTCCAATGAGATTGGAGGTTATTTTTATTATGTCCATTTTATAGATTAAAAACACTGAAGCACAATTTGCTTAAACCACACACGAAGAGATAGAAAGAATTTGAAGCTAAGTAGGCTGATATAAAGTACTGAATGGCTGATCTCTGGGCCATAATGCCTCCAGATGTGAAAGATTAAGAAAGACTGTACTGGAAAAGCATCATCTTTAGGACATTTCTTTAGTCAGTTTCCTACAGATCTTTCCTCAGCTCTATGACTAGAAAGAAACCTTCAGCAGATACCCAATCCAAGTGCAGTTTAGTCAGCCTTTAGAAGTCAGAAAGAAAGGATCACAAAGAGAAAAAGAGATAGAAAGTTCTTGCATTGCTGGAAGATAGTTCATGAGATACTTGGCATTAGTTCAAGGAATTACATCTGCTAATTGTTAACATCAACCTAGTTGGCGAGTTATTATCAAGATCACATTGTTCTCCTTACTACTCAGTAAAAAGTTAGTATCAGTTTCATCACTGAGCACTGTCAGGACAGAGCACTTGGAGCAGTGCCTGGGTTTGGTTAAGCACAAGATAAAAACAAAAAAATGATTGCTGTTGGTTTGATGTCACCCATGGTGCCCTCCCCTATCTGTGTCAAAATGGATCTGTGAGTCGTAAAATTTTCAATGGTGGACTTTCTGTAAATAAATCATCACGTTATTCTTCAGAAAGATGTTTTTATTAATAGCTGAATACATTAATTCTTTGTAATACTCAGTTATGTAAAATAATACAAACTCATATTGTATAATACTCTTAACCCTAAACACCTTAAGGATATTTTTAAGGGATTGGGACATTTATGGTTTAAATTGGACAATTTAACATTCATTAATTTAAACTCATTTAAAAGTAAGATCTTGTCCGGAATTTTAAAATAATCATTGGGAAATTTTGTTGATACATTTAACAAAATCTAACTATAGTTAAAAAACAGTTTATTAGCCCACTAAAAAATGAAATTATCTTTAAAAAAAAACCCAATACGCAGCATTATCATCAATACTATTCAGGTTTTCTATTTAAAAATAAAAATACAAGGATAAAGTTGACTAAATAATGTAACCAAACACCAGTCGTGGTAAAGACGGAACCATACTTGTTCAATTCCAAAGCTATAGGTTTCATTTTTCTGACATCAATTCTAAAAACTTGTAAAGCAGGCTGAATAAAAATACATACAATAGGCCAATTTCTTTGAAATCTCTTCTTTGTAAGAACTAAGCTATTTCTACGTCTTTTCTAATCTCATATCTCTCACTTTTGGTTTCTACAGATCCAACACCACCCAACATAAACATTTGGTACTTTATAGCAGCAGGGTAAAGCAAAATGCTACAAGGCAGAGCTCATCAAAAGTAAATAAAACATTACCCTTAACAGAATATTGAGCAGCATGAACTTCTCCCAAGTTAATCAGAAATCTTGCTTGTGACACTCTCATAGACACTGTAAAAGTGACACAGTAGTGGAGCTGGGACTCCTCATTTAACTTTGCAAGGGGTGGGGGTGGGGGAGCAAGAGAATGATCATCAGCATCAACAAATAGCCCAAGACCAATTCCTGTGAGGCAGAGGTCAGATATACCTCTCCTCTCCAAACTTTTCAATTCTGTTTCCAGCTGTCCCTTTCACAGCTCTTTCTACTATTTTGTTGAATTTGAACATTCAAGGAAATGGCCCTACAGAATTTACAGATAATACTCATGATTATGACGTTTATTAGGGAAATAGCAAGTTACAGTGCAGGATCAGAAATAACTCCGGATATAGTTCTTTGGTCAAGACAGCTTTTTCAGCCATGCTCTTGGGCAAAATCCTCCTGGGCCTTCTGTCCTTCAGGCCTCTGGTGCTGGTCCAACCTCTGCCCCACTCAGCCAAGTGTTATAAAGGTTTTTGACTCTGCCTGAGGGCACCCCACTCCTCTAGTTAGCCTCAGAAGAAGACAGTCATTGTTGTTGCTCTGTGGGCCAGGAAGCCCACTTCTTTCTTGGTGATAGTAAGGTCCCTTACTTGTTCTGGGTCAAGCAAAATGGTAAAATTAATCAATTTCCTTCTTAGAGTTCAATGCCCCTTATTTGCATAGTCTCATTCACATCATGCTCAGAAAAGAAAAAGGTCTGGGAAAAAAGAGGAAGACCCTCAAAAAATAGATTAACATTGTGACTAGAACAATGGGCAGAGAGGCTTTAAAGATGGCACAGGATTGAGTAGGGTTTCATTCACCAGGATGGTTATCAATTGGAGCTGAACCAGCAGCACATAGAAACAACTTCCACAAGGGTGCCACTTACCTTACATGCATTATTTATGAATTGTCCTGTCCTATCTACTAGTTAGCCACAAGTATCTAATTTACAGTCTTCCTCAAAGACATCATGCTTGGTAAAGTAGTTGTTGTTAAGTGCCATTGAGTCAGAACCAAGCCATTGCTGACTCTCCAGCACGTTTTCAGAGGCTGTGAACAAAATGGGAGGAGATGATCCACCTTTCTCCCACAGAGCAACTGATAGATTCAAGCCTACTGCCTTTTTGTTGGCAACACAACTCCTTCCCCCTAAACCATCA